TGAGCCAACCTGAGTTTATCCTACTATTTCATGTCAAAATGGCTGCTGTGAAAGCAGCCTATTTTACAAGTGGAAAAAGCAGCTGTGGTGAAAATCAGCCAGGCGCTCCATGAAAGCGCGCTAACATGGAACGTCCCATAAAGGATGGCCACCTATGGCTGACCACCATGTGAGAAACTCCTGGAAAGGTCCTGGATAATAATTTATTGATTTCTCTGGATTCTCTGATTTTCTTTGGTCTACAGCCCTAGTTTCTACCGCCTTGTTTCATTAATGTTGAGAGGAATCTGACTTGTTATTACATTATGAATAACTATATAGAAACAGACAATTTTTTTTATGTTTGTTTATGTTGGTCATATAAAGGCATCTGTGTTAAATTGAGTTGTAGTAAGCCTAACTAACTGTATGATATATTAATGCATTTGGTTCTATTTCTGACTTCTCTGAAAACCTTTTTTGTGTCATCTGTTGGGGGCTCTGGATTTTATGAAATCTACCTTGTAGGCTGTTAAGTTCTGAAGTCGCCTCTCTTCAGGTGCATGGTTGTTTTTCAGAGGAGAGGGGGGTTTTCAGGACGTCCCAGGGGTCCTTTAGGGGTTTTCAAGGGACTTGCAGATAAAATGAGGAACAAGTTCATTGAAAAGTGAGAAAAATGAGGTTTCAGTCTCCTCCCTGTCAGCACAGACCAGAGCCAGTTGAAGAAGCCGTTTACCTGATGCTATTTTCATGTGTTATTTCATATCATGTATTTGTATGCAGATAATCTTTTTGATATGTTTTTCAGCTAATGGTCAGACCTTCCACTGTTTGACAATCAGTCTAATCTAATATTAACCTTCTTCTTTGAGCGATTTCTGCTTCTCTGCCTTTTGGCTTCTCTGTCACTTTTTTTTACATGTTTAAAACAGACGCTGCAAAAGTGTCCACTCCTTAAATGTTGCTGTTGAAAAGGATAGAAGTGACGACGGGAGGATGGACGAGGGGAGGGAAGGGAGAGAGTCAGGGGAAGAAAAAAGGGGGCAGAGCGAGGAGGAGTGGGAGGGAGGGATGGAGAGGGAAGAGAGGGAGCAGTGCGGGATAGGAAAGAAGGAAGTGGAGAGGGAGGAAAAAAGAGTTAAAGGTGGAAATGGAGAGAGAGAGAAAGAAAGAGAGACAGAGAGAGAGAGAGAGAGAAAGAGAGAGAGAGAGACTTCCAGGCAGTGGGAAGCGAGGGGCGGAAGATGAGGGACAAGAATGACACAACAAGCAGAGAGCTGAATACACACATTTCCCCGGAGAATAAAAGGATGCTGCCGCTATAATATCACAGCTGAGGATAGTTTATTCTGAGTGCTGTTTGTTTGTTTGTTTGTGGGATATGTGGGTTATATATATATAGAGTAACGGCGCCCTGGTTGTGAAAAACAAAGCGTTTAAAATTTGACCTACATTCATTATGTGGTGTAACAGCCAATGAAGACACTGTTTTATATTAAAAACACATGAACTCATGTTGTTAATACCGTCCTTATATAAGATGTTCTAATGTCTTATTTACATATATTACAGACAGTAGCTTTACTCATCCTGTAAATACGATATACTGTTATTGATCACGCTGTATATATTACATTATATACTATATAATGGTTCATTGTTTACAATGTACAAATAGATTATTGATACAGTAGCTACATTTACTCATGGTATAGACTGTTACATACTGTATATTGGTTTATTGATTATTAAAAATCCCATCATACCACACTGGTTTATTATTCATTTTGTACAATAATTCATATTTATAGTATCTATATGCACTTTAATACTGTTTACAATATGTGGTTAGATGCTCTACTGCTCTTTGTAGTACTGATACTTTGTATTATGACAATAACGTTTAATCTGATGCCATCTAATGGGTCAAATATTCAAATCTGAAACAGAACATACTACCTTTCTAAAATATTAGTGAAATCAGATGTTATAGTCAGTGTTTGTAGTGGTGAACCTGCTGGTGGATCTGTGTGGTAAAACATCCTATATCCTCTTTTCAGTTTTGTACAACCTCTACATGTTTCATCCTTTGGTTCACTTCTTAGAATAAAAGCCAGTTAAAGGAACAGACAGGAGACGCACATCAACAGTTTCAAGCTCTGTTTATTCTTTATAAAACAGCATTTCTCTAGTCACAGCCACCGTAGCCCTACAGGAGATGATTACATTAGCCGTTACTACAATATTGCATGCATTTATCCACTTTTGGAACGAGCTGTGTGCAAAGAGCACCAAAGAGGAGGGGAAGTGCAATAGAAAGTGCCTGTAAAACATCCTAACGTTTCCTCCTCTTGTGGAAAGTGTCAGACATGGAATGTGCAAAAACACGGTAATTGATTAAATCTCTCATCCTCCGTATTTCTACACTTCTGTTTTGGCCCCGTATTCTTACAACTTATACCTACAGTATCAAACAATCACTGTGAGATGAAGACACCGTTAGTCAGCTTCGTGTGTTTCCACTCTGTATTTGAGCACAGGGAATATATATATATGGTTAGATGCTGAAGTGCAGATAATACTTTCTCTCTTGTGGCATTTCAAAAGGTCTATTTTACAACACGACATGCATTCCACTGCCAATCCAATATTTCCTGAAAGAATCTGCATTTAATCATATTCAGAGATGTAGGGCACACCTGCAAATAATCAGAGTCCTTTAATCCAATGCCTGATTCATTCTGGGTTGGCCTGAGAAAGCCCTGCCTTGGCCACACAAAGGAAAACTAAAACCTAATAAATCCACCTTTTTAATTCCCTGTATGACTGATTTCTGAAAAAAATAAAGCTGATTGATTAAATGAGTGCAAGTAAACGTGGACCTATGCAACAAGTTGGCCCAAATTTATAATTTTTCCTTTCCTGTAATATGGTTTCATTAAACGTTACATAAGCATTACGTGGAAGTAAATCTCTAACGCAATAGTTTCAAGCTGGATTGATGGCAAAGTTTGTCATATTCAAGAAGAAGTTTTACATTGACAAGGTTTTCTTATACAGTTACACTTCAGATGACATTAGAACCTTAATACAGACACAGTGGAAATATCCAGATCACCAATATGAACTCTATTAACTGTATCAGTGATATATCGCAGTGTTTTCTTACAGTGCAGCTGATAACACAGGCTACGAAGGGTCCCTAAAGGCATTACGTCAGGAAATAATATACCAACAGGACTACGTGTGAAGGACTCATTTTACAACAGCCAAATTTGATCAGAACCTGTTCAATTGGTGCAAACCTCTGAAAACTGAGACGCATATACAAGCAGAAGAGGGGGGCAGGTTTTACCGCTTATTAGTAGTGTGCATTCTGCTTGTTATCTGCTACATGTTTATCACTGTATAACAGTGTTTTCTGACTTTGATTGTAGTCGTTTCTAAATTTTTGAAGAAACAGAACTCTCCTGTTTACACTGCAGACTTTATTTGAGCTTATATTTACTGAGGTTTGAAGTGGTAAGAGTACAAGGACAAAGTGTAATTCAAATATTTAAAGCTAACTCTTTGGCTGACTGGTTGCTAGTTTTATTATATTGGGTTTAACAATACCTTGGAGTATTCCATTAATGTCTTTGGAGTTGGAAAATGTTGCTGAAATTAAGCTACTTACTTATATATATCATATATCAATGATATATATGTATATATATATATATATATCATTTTTCTAGAAGTGTATATCAAAATCTACAAAGTTTAACATTTCCATTAGGAATAAACGGCAAATCACTTGAAACATACAAGATTCAACTGAACTCCCATTACATGCAGTTTACAAAACCTGCTGTGCTATATAGAAACTGTGTATCCTCTTCCCCTTTTAAAGTAGTGATAGTTCACTCTGGAAAATGCTAATTTATATCAAATATAAAGCAAAATCGAAAAGAATGGAATGTTTTTAAGGCCACAACGTAAAAAAATATAGCCACAAAGAAATATGTATAAATGTCAAAGCTTTAAAGCCAGAATTTAGTTTAAAGGTAATTCTTTAAAGATATAATGCAGAAGCTCTGTTTGAAAAGCACCCTGATTACCCTGTCTGAGCAATATACAGCCAAGTAAGATGCATTCAGCTGAAATAGAAAATTTAAGTGTTTTTAAGTTTAAAGGTAAACATTGACTCGTCTATTAAGACCAATTGTAAACTTGTAAAATGACGGCAGTGTCAATTTAAGACATCGAGGATCAATAAGAGGGATTGTGATGGTTTCAATCCCTGACGGAGTGAATCCAGACACCTTTATGGGCCTAGACTTTAACAGGCAGAGTAACGTGCATAATACAGATGCTGGTAAATTGGCATCATATTTTTACCTTGTGCCAATGTGGTTTAGCTGCATGTTTGTTCCAATGGGTGGCATGATAAGGCTTTAGTGCTGAATGTGTGCTTGTGTTGTGCGCTGGTTGCATTGCATCAAGATTATGAAGGTTCAGAGGTCCTCTAACTGGATTTCTTCTGGTCAACAGTGCCTGTACCCCTCGACTTGTTCAACACCACGGTGGCCTGAAAACAGAGGAAATGAAAGGGAAGACAATATGACTGCCTACTCTATCATCATTATCATCAAGTGTTTCTTGCAGTGTTGGCTGACTTCTGTAACTTTATGTTGTGGTTAAATACGCTGCAACCTCTCCGCCACACCCGTCACAGTTTTAAACCAGCTGGGAAGAGTTGGTTCGATAAATTCAAAACCACTAAACAGCCAGTGAGGGCTTACGGTAGGGCTTTTAGACTCATTGTTAGTTTCATTTTGTATCTGTGTGCTGTTGAAGATTATTTTTAATGTAATGCTTTTAATTTTTTTAAAGCTCTACATATTAATTATCAAAAATTATTACAGAATCACAAAATCTGTAATTGGATCGGTCCAAGTAGGCGTGGCTTAGCGTGACTGGATATTGAGCTGCAGAGGACTATAGCACCTCCCTTTACCTGCGTTGTTAGACCAGGAAGAGGAGCGTAAGGGTTAAATAAACAAATCAGACCTCAACCACATTCTTCGTTTTCACAGGTTTACCAGCTAAAATCCAAACACACACCTCCTACTGTATTGCTCTGCTAGCTACCCACATGGTCAAATGCAGTTATATATGATTGGCAAGTCAGCTAGTCGCTCTAAATCACACTGGATTGGATACATTTATGTAACAGTTCAAGATGAGTCACATACATATTTTTAGGTTTAACAGGAAGAGAGAAGAGACATTTTGACACATTTAGCATGTAACCCTGTAAGAGCTAAAAGAACTGACACAGGATTAAAAGTGTAAATGTATTCAGAGGATGTAGGACTGTAAAATCAATGGACTTCCACAAGGAGATAAATGTTTCCTATCACATTACCTGTAATAACTTTAAAAGGGCAATAAAATATCACGCCTCTGTGTCCGCCACCTTCTTTCTGGGTCCGTTGTCCACCTTGTGGCTCATTACTCAATAATGAAGCTTTGAAGGCAAATGAAGAAGAAAGGAGCCTTTAAAAAGGTCACTACTAAAAGGAACTTGATTATGGACACAGCAGCAAAGCCACATGGTTAACCTGTGATTTCAAACACTCACATGACCAGTGGCCTTTATCTGAGGACAACAACTACTGCTGCTATTCTTGAAAGGACAGAAATGACCCGACCTAAGCCAGTGATCTAAGACAGTTACTTTTGATTGGCTTCTTGTCTCACTGGCTCTATACAAAGCAAGATCCAAACTAGGGCTGGTTGACAAAACTGTTCATTCCAGTTGATATCGTTAATTATTGATAATTGTTAATGACCTATTTTTAGTAGTAGTTTAATTTACTAAGTAATCATTTATATCTTACAGTATTGTTGCTGATTACCTCTCCGTCATGGACTTCCTGTGGATTGTTTCATGAGATCAAAAGATAAATCGTGACTGACGACATGTTGCGTACTCCAAAGTGTGAAACTATTGATATTCTATTGAACAATTTGAAGGGTCTATTGCTGATATATTGCTATAGTTTTATTGCCAAGAAGTGTTCCCTTGTGTTTCTGATGTTGTTACATGATTAAAGTAAAAAACCTATTGTGGTGAACATGTTTTAAATTGAAACTATTACTGTGCTCATACCCAGTTTTTGAATGTCACACCGTACATGACTCGATAAACTAGCACTAAACATTAAGTCCTGATTTCTCCTACCCTAGGATAGCTGGATGCCATTCTTGTTCTTCTGCACCTTCTAGTGACTTTTATGGGGCCATGCATTGAAATAAAAGGTTATATTGACATAACTAAAAGCTCTGAAAGCCATATAAGACAGACATCAGCCAACAGTAACTGACCAGTGCCACCAGCCCCGTTATCCTCACCTGCTCCAGGACGACACCTGCTGCCTGGTCGATGGCTCCTCCTACAGTCCGGTACCGACCGGAGTAGCGGATGAAGGCCCACGTCAGCATGGACATCATGACCACACCCAGAGTACAGTCACACACCAAGGCGAAGGTGGACAGGCCGATGAAGAGCAACACACCTGACAGCACGTAGAGAAGGCACACCAGGACAAACAGCACTGCAGGTGTCCGGAAGGCGCTGAAGAGATTTTTTGACTTTAACAGCAAAGAGGAAAAACAGATTATTAAAAACCTTTTTCAAATTATATTATTACCAAAAACAGCAATGCATGCAATAACAACATACTACGGTCAATGAAAGTAAGAAAACTGTTTTGTTTCGTAATAAATGATTCAAATGTTTATTTTAATATTTCTTTTCTTTTTTAAAACAGGCCTGTTAGAGCTGTTTATACAATAGAATAGAATAGTTGTAAATAATATCCTGTTTATGGAACGATCTCTTGCCTCATTGTGTTTGCTAAATGACTGCCACATTTCGTCCAGCTCCTTCTCCAGCTGTACTTGGTAACGGTCACAAAACTCTTGTCCGCCCATCTTCTTGGTCGAGGAGAAGGCATGAAGAGCCTCTCGGGAGTTAAAGTGATGCTTTTCCTCCAGAGAGTCAGGAGACACATAGGGCAAGTCTCCCCCACACACCTTAGGAAGGAAAACAAAGAGAAAAGACACTTATGAAAGAAAGTTTGAAGTCAGAATTGCATGAACATTACCAGTCACTTGTTGTTAGAATATAACAGGATCATCCATCCTTGTTCTGTCGACAGCTTTTAGATTTCTCACACGTAAGTGAACCCACCTTCTCCATGTTCTTGTAATACCGATCTTTGGCTGCTGCCACGGCTGCCAGGTTGTTGGCCTCTGCTGTAGCCTGGTGAGACAAACAGGTATATTATATTAGTTATCCACTAGTTAACAGGAAAACTGTGTAGCTTATTTAAAACGTGTGTTTGTCCTGCACATACCATGAGCATCGTCTTTGGCTGTGGCAAGTCTTCTCCCTGGTAAATCTTGATGTAAGCCTGGTAAGACAAGAATTACAACATCAGATATGAAAAACTTGTTCGGGTTTAGCAGGAAAACTCAGAAGGATAAGATGTTACCTTGAAGAACTCAAGCAGGCCCCGGCAAGTGACTTTGTTTCCATTTATTTCTTTCTCAGCCAGACGATCCGGGTGCAGCAGTTTAGGAATCAAGCTCTTCAGCTGCTCTCTGAACTCTGGGGCCACGTCTGACAAAATAAATATATCAAAACTGAGGACAGCACTCAGTATACCAGGCATTCTGCTAAATACCAATAGTATAAAAATAGTGGGGCTCTTACCATTAAGCTGTCCCTTAAAAGAAGGGCTGGTAGCAACTTTCAACCCAGGGTGAGGTAACAAGAAGCAGGAAATTTTGGTGAAGCATGAATGAATGTGCTCCCTCACTGTTTGCAGCTCCTCGTGTTGGGCCTCCTTAACCTTTAAAAAACAACAGTACACAAACAAACAAATAATAGTAAGGTGACATCTCAAACTCGGTATTAAAGATGAGCTAGGTGCATTTATTATTCTGAAAAATCAACAACAGAATTGGTACCTGTAATCGTTTATCCAGGAACTCACTGCCTCCTTTAAAACCGTATGCATATTCATAAGGAAAGCTCCAGTCCCTGATTACGAACATCAGAGACTGTCGGATGGAAAGGAAAGGTTTTAAATTAAAGAAAACATCTTTTTATTTTACCACAAAGAATTGAGCAAGTGAAACAATCAGATGCATATCAAACATCAGCAACAACACTGACCTGAAAGGGCTTCAGGAAGATCTCATCCATGGCGAGACGACCATACTCTGTGAACAACTGTGAGGAGGCAGCCATGATGCAAAATTAGTACTAAGATGTAAAAATCTGAAGAGCAACTGATGTAAAGTAGTAAAATGACTGAAACACCCTATTGTCAGACACAGGAAAGCTTATTCTAAGACCTTTATATTTCATAAACAGTAAACAGACCTGTAGCTGCTGCAGATCGTCCTCTTGTATGTTCTGTGACAAATTGTAGATCTACAAAAGAGAAATTGTGTAAGCATACATTACAATGAGGATAATGAGAGACGATTGAATGAGAGTCAGAATCAGTCACCTGTATTGAGCTGGTCATGGTGCTGAGGGCAAAGATGGTGGCACAGTCCTTCACGGTGGACTGACTATCAAAGGCTCCCTGAGTGTCCATCAGCACCACTGCCACCTACAGGACAAAATAAAGTATAACACAGACAAGAAAGAATATTTGTGTTACAAGTTGACCTGTTGAAAAGCTGCTTAATTTGGTATAAATCTAATATATCCTTGAAATTACAAACAAATAAAAACAAAAGCAGTGTAAAATTATTTTTTAAAATCACACATGAAATGATCTGTATCAATGTAAAAATGTAAACGACTCATGGCTCATGTAGAGGTATAAGATAAGAGATTCCTTCATATGTTTCCTATTCCTTTATATTTGTATGTTTCTACATTCACTAAACGCTAATGTTCATCGCTTCTCTTTCTGGAGCAACTCTGTCTAACATGCAGGGAAACAACCAGCTATTATCATACTTATAAGAAAATATAATTAGTATTAATGTATTGTTTTCAATTAATTTATTGTTTTATGTATAAATGTAATAATAATAAAATATAATATAATATAATGCTCAGTGCAGTTTCCCAGAACCTTCAGATTGCTTTATTCAAACAACAATCAAACCCCACAAAAAATACAATTTACAAATGAAATAAAACAGGAAAACCGATAATCACATTTAAAACGCTGGAACTAGAAAAAGTTTGACATTTTTTTCTTGATTAATGACTTAAGTGATTATAAAAAATGTTGATGAATTTTCTGTAAATCAACTCATCACTTCATCTTTTCTCCACTACAAACATGCAAGTCAAACTAACAAATGAAATGTAGTTACAAAGATGAAAAGGTCAATAAGAAGAGAATATGGGATGAATATTGAAAAACAAAAGTCAGATAATAACTCAAGTGAAATAAAGACCTTACACAGAAAGTTCTAAATACTAAATACTTACACAGGCACACATGTGGTACATAAATAAACTCTGTACCTCTGTTCCATCGCTCTTTGTAACAGGGAAAACTTCGCTCCACAGCTGGATGCCGGTTGTCTCTGGTTCTGAACCCCCTCTCCAAGAAAATCCAGTCAGCGGCTCATTACCCTCACCCAGCCAGTTCTCATCACCCTGCAGAAATACAAATTACACTTTCAAGATCAGTCTGGGGCTTCTGTAAACAACTGTGTATAAAAAACCTTATTCCTTATTCAAAAACTGAATCATGCCTTGTTTTCTTCGTTTCTAAAGAATGCAGCAGCAATTGTTAATAGAAACTCCAGCTGTTCTACATTATTTACAACAACAAAAAGTCCTACGTGGAATGAAGACCTCAGTCAGGTCAAAATGATCCCCACAGTTCACTATATTGACAGCAGTGTGCAGATGTCAAAAAGATTCAGTGGTAGCTAACATTGAGCCTGATGGTGGCATTACAGCAAAGGTAATGGAGTTACCAAAATCAATGAGATTTATCAATGAACCCAGCAAATGTAATGCCAAGGTTATGCAAGATATGTACATAAAACAAACTTGAGTGATTTCACAGACTCCACTCCTTAAAGAAGATGCTGTATATGTTCTGTTGACTAAACTTGTTAGTTCACATGTTACAGCAGGGATGGGCGGTAATGTGGAATGACTGTATATTGTGAAAGTTTTCAAGACTGATTTTTTCCCAGACTATCACACCTTCAACAAAAGAGGAGGAACTAGTCAGCATCACCTGCTGTAAAGCAATCATCAGATAAGTCATCTTTAGTTAAGTGTTCTCTGAGCACTGACAGATACTGGAGTAAGACATGATGTCTGACACTGAAAGATCATGTTACAGTGTGACTCACCTTTCTATACATGTAACGGAGCATAAAATCCAGCAGAAAGCTCTTTCCCTTTCTGAAGGCTCCAGCCACTGACAACACTACCACATGTTTGTCTCGGACCTCAGGAGCCAACAGAATCCGAGCCAAAGCCTTGGTGTCCAAACCGAAGGAGTGATCCTCCTTACACACCGTGACGATCTGAACTGGGCCTGGTTCACTCCTCATTCTTAAGACGTACTGGTTCCTGTGAATATCACAGATGAAAAAACATTGGTTTGATATTAGTACTGGAAT